TATTTTTTTTCGCGAATTGGGTTGACCTGGGGTTAGACGGTAAAAAATTTCGAGCTGGCTAAAGCCCTGCGTTGCCCACTAAAAAGCTAGGTTGTCCATCAATATTTCAAGTTGCTGTCAGCACTAGCTGTTTATTTTAGAAGGCAAGCTGTAAGCCAGGCCACCTGTAAAGGTACATGTATCACTCACATGCTGGCTGAGGGGGCACACAGTGTATTTTAGAAACTGTAAGTCAGCCTGCTATGAGCTTTAAAAAGGTCGCTTTGTATGTAAAAAAAAAAGATAACTTGCATGCCAGGCAACCTGGCATCTCCAAGTCTCGCACAGAAAACATGACTTGCCTTGCAAGTAATGCAGTGTACCTAAACCCACATTTAGGTTCAGGTCCGGATTCAAGTCCAGAGGTTTAGGTTCAGTTATGGGCTTGTAAGTCCGGACCTAAACCCATGGCATATACAAAATTGCATGTTGGCAACCTTGCAATGTTGTTTGGGCAAAACTTTGGCCACATAACATGGAGGCCGGTACTTGACGATGCCCGATGGCAATGTTTTCTTCATTTTGCAGCAAAGATTTTGCAATCTACAGAAGGTTTTAGGTGGTTTGGAAAGAAACAGGGTATGTGACATGGTCTTTTATGGTAATACAGTGGGTACGGACTTGGACTTGAACCTAAACATTCTTACAAGTCCGGATCCAAGTCCAGTAAACCGTACTGTTGGAACTTGCTGCCTGTTACAGAACATGCTACACTAACAATCACTAAAACTCTGCTCCACTACTGTAGCCTCCAAACTCCACTTCCACTGTCAGGTCCAGCATCAGCACTCATCCTGAAGTCAAACACATCATACCAACATTAACTGTGTGGTTCTGGGATATATTCTACTGGAAAAATTACACAATATCGAAAAACATATACGAGGGGTGTTCAATATTGACTTCCCCTGACCAATTTCTGACTATTGTAGGTGACTGAAATCACTTAAATGTGTTCACCATTACTATCATTTACATATAATGGTTTATCATCATTACTGAGCCCAACATGTATAACTTTTGACGACGTCATTTTGATGCCATGAAAATTTGCATAAATCATTACCTTACAATAAGGCATTTCTTAACTACAAGATGTGGAACATAATTTATTATCTAATCTTAAGTCCTCAGCCACCCTCCAGTACTACATGTACCTTAAAGCTTAATACTGACATCACATACGTACATGTACATGTAATGTTACCAAAAAAAGTAATATATACGTTGTTGTGCCTAATACAATCAACATCACATATATGCCACCTACTGACATCTATTCCTTAAAACAAAAACTTACTACATCACCTCTTCCTTTTTTGTTCAGCTTGACTTCCAGTCTGAAAAGGAAGAAATCACTGTTATGATGGCAAAGACCATAGTAATATTCAGAGAGCTATTTTTCATTTCATGATGTCTACAACATGACTTGATTTTCAAAAGAAGCTATTTAAGTATTTTGACCATTACAACAACACAATAGTTTCTCTGCTGTTTCACCTTACCAGTATCTTAAAAGTAATCCAGTCCAGTTAATATTGTCTATGCCTAGGCTACCGAGATTATGCATTTCTATCAATACCATTTAATTTATTTTTCCTTATCAATATGCACATCTTTTTTTCAACCACATTGTTATAATGTTGAATCAGTTAATTCAATGATAATTGTCTTTGAGTGGCAGTCACACCAGCAGAAGTTCTGCTGTTTCTACTGTTCTGGTTTTGTAGTCACAACAGACTGTCTACATGTAACTTCATCACAAGGGTGGGACAAAAGGAAAGAGATGTAACATGAGACATGAGATTTAGGATTCATCACTAATGTTTGTAATGATAACATTTTTTTC